GTGTTTGAGTATGCGTGTGGTTGGACGCGGGAGATGGAGCATTGAGGGCGTTGCTTGGCGCGTTCGCGATGCAACTTGACTCTGGCAATATCAATGCACTCGGTGGCTCATTGTTGCTTGGCGGCCGCTGGCACGCAACTGCTGGCGTGCACTCGGCGCGAAGTCGGGCAGCGACGGGGTTGGCCGAGGTCGGTCGCACCGGCTTCTTGGCAAACGCGGCAAAAGCTGTTGGTGAGCCGTACGCCTTGCGCAAACGGAGCTCGTGCTCCGACGGTACTGGGTGCTCGAGGAGCTTCGGCCGCATCGATGGACGGCTACCGTAATCGCCAAGGAAAAAACGACCGGCTACCGTTTCGCTATCGAACCGGACGATCATGATGCACTGAATTCTGGAAGGAAACGTGCGTAAGGAAATCTAGTAGTACTGAGTACAGTACTTATTCGTGCAATTAATTGCGTAGAGATATTCCATTCGATATTGACACCTGCGACCTGGCTTGCAACTACACGATCTCTCAGGATCCCCTGCTTGTGCTCATGAGCTCTCTGTGTTCGTGTACCGGTGCCGTTTGTACAGAACCAATATCGGTCGCGATAACGACTCCTATTGGCTATAAAGCAAGCTTTTTAGCCAATCGTATGCTATTTGGATTGCTTTGGTGTCGCCACGAGGCGGCCGAGTCGGCACATCGCGTTGGAAAATGGTATCGCTCATACTTGGTACATCGATATTCGACATCTTGAGCGATATACAATACAATGCCAGCGTGCAAGTCATGTGGCTGGATATAATTCGGTCACGGTGCCCATGGAATTCACAAAACGACGATCCATGATTGGCTATAATCTTCATCAATTGTTGCTATCGTGGTGCCGTGACCGTGCTTGCGAGATACGACTAGATCGGCAAGTACTAATGTCGGATGAAACCCCTTCAAGCGTCGGTCGGTCGCGCCAACGAAAAAGAGAACGTTTTTGAACGGGTTCCAGTGTCGAAACGGCGCGCCGCTTGGACTCCAGATCGTCTTTTCCGTTGGCCGTAGCATGGGCAATGCACAGTCGGGCAAGGCGGCCAAAGTGCTGCGACTGCGTCAAGAAGATGTCGATGTCGATGTCGACCACCTCGGGTCGTTCTCGTTTGGCCTCGCGCACGACTACGAGGTGCAACACTACATGCCGCCGCAGTTTCCGATCATTCCGCTACTGACCAAAGACCGCGTCATGACGTGCCAGCGCACGTGGGATCTCGTGCAGAACGCATCGACCGAGAAGATGAAGCAGTACGGCAAGCCGGGCATCGTCCTCTTCTACGACGAGTTCTTCTACCGGCTCTTTGAGCGCGACACGACGATGGCGCTAGTCTTCCCCAACACCAAGCAGCGCGGCGAGGTGCTCATCAAGGCGCTCACGTTCATCCTCGGCGTCCGCGCCGACGCGCCGTCGGACGTTGAGAACGTCAAGAACTCGTGTCGGTTCCTCGGCCACCGGCACCGGACGTTTATGAAGGTGCGCCCGCACCATTTCGCCACGTACGCCTTGACGATGGTCGAGGTCGTCATGTACTGGCTCGGGGACTTGGCGTCGCACAATGTCGGGCAAGCGTGGTCCAACACGACGGGCTTCATCCTGCGCTACCTCTTGGAGCCATACCTCTACGAGCGCACCGACCCGTACGAGCTCTACCAAAACACAACGATCGCAGCCGTGCGCGAGATCACAGAGTCCTCGGCGGCGTCGGCGTCCGTCATGGACAACAAGACGGGGCGCGCGTCGACCATGTCTAGTGCGCGCACGTAACAGCATGTGTCTACAGCGTAATCCATCGTTCGTTCTTTGCAGTACACTTGTTGATTTATCGCAAACGCCACGCCGCGTAGACGTCGGCCACGTGTACCCTATCATACGCGTTGGAGGTGTTGGATAATGATACCATTAGAGAACGCACCGCGGCACTGCCGGTGCATCCCCTTGGATGGTTGCGAGGATGTCATCGAGCGCCGATATCTGACACGACGCGAGTCTACGTGACGCATAAAGAACCATCGACAATGCAACACGTCGACGTACGTGACACCCGACGTCTCGATGTAGTCGAGGAAGGCGGCATCCGCACGCCACTGCGACGACGAGACGATACCGACGACATCGACGCCGGACGCAAAGGCTTCGTTCGCCGCGCAGAGGTGCGCGATCAGCGCTTTGGGCTGAAACGTTTTCCAGCCGAGGCCGACAATGTAGCGCTCCGAGCTCCCGGGACGACTGGTCTACGCTCTTAGGGGTCAAACCACAATCTTGCCGCTTGCAGAATACTACTGTACAATCGGCTTGACAATGGCCAGCTTTGCAAAGGCGTGGTGCAAGAGATAGAGGAGTCCGAGCGAAAAGGGCGTCGAGAGCTCAAACGTCTTGCAGACAAAATGGCCGCCGGGGCGAAGAAGCCGCGCCATTGTGAGCACCTCGCACAGGACGAGGCGGTGCATGACATGCTCCTACGCATCTAGGTTATCGACGTCACAGATCGGGACTTCGTGCACCTGATGGACATGATTGCGAGCTTCTTGAAAGCCGCCATCAGCAACGACAAGGTCCAAACCTTGAGGATTTCCATGCAACGCCTACAAACACATTGGAGCGCAATCGTCTATCGGTCGCTGTACCGTCTGCACAAATTGGTCCATGTTCGCTTCGACGTAGAGATTACCAGTGCCATCTGCACCGTACGAGACTTGGAGCCGGGCCTTGGTGGCGTCGTCGAGGCGCCAGTGCAACGGATTGTCGTCGGACTCGGGTCGAAGCGAGATGCCATAGCCGCACGCACGCTTGGTGCTGTACACAAGGTACTCGGAAAAGCCACCGGGCGCACCACAGAGGTCTGCAAACGACGTCGTGCTCGCGCTCGTCAAGCCACAACGCGCGTTGAGCTCGGCCATCTTCATCGCGGACCGGTTGACAAAGGTAAACTTGCCGAGGTGCTCGAATGGGTTGGCGCGGCCACGGCACCGACGATACATTGCGGGCGTAATCGCTAGGTTCTCAAGGCTCGTTTTGCGCTCGAGCAGCTTCTCTAGCGCCTGGGCGAGCCGTGGCATCGCCGGCTCTGTGGTCGAGGAGGTTTCCAGCACCATGTCGACGGCTGCTGCATCCGTTGATGCGAGATACACGATCGTTTCCGGATGGTACATTGAAGCGCGTAACTTGGACGCAGCGCGTTCGCGGGTCGGTGA